GACTCATGCCTTGTGGTAAGGGGCATATTACCTTCTAAGGAAGGCAAAAGAACCTTAGGACCTCCCTCAGCCTGAATGAAGATAAAGCTTGAGGCTGGGCTTTCAGGGCCTGGCCATCTCTGGTGTCTTCCTGGCTCAGGATGCTTGACTCAGATGCTTCTTCCGTCTGTGATGCCTATCTGTGCTTTTTTCCCCTTATTCCAGCCAACCTTCCTAAGACCCTTCCTAAATATTCCCTCTTGGGCAGAGACGGCTCCTTCCGGCCAGGCCCTGACAGCACACTGTATTCCTCTGCTCTATAATGTTTAATCTTGTACCATCTTTCCAGTCATTTCCCAAACACACTTTTTATCTTCTGAAGGATGCTTCAGAAACTCCCCCTTATTTATCTGGCAAACGCCTACTCGCCTATCAATCCTGCTTTAAGCCATTTTCTCTGGAGGCTTCCTGATTCCCCACTCACACAAAACAGAATTGATTTCTGCCTCCTGGGCACCCACGGACTCTTGAGCCAGTATCTGCTAGGCCGCCCCCCACATTATGGGGCTTTCTGTTCATATACCTGCATCCATGCAGGAATATGGCTAGCTCTTAGTGGTCTTCCTGTTCCTAAATGATATGGATAAGGATTAAACACTGCGCATGGGGCTAGAGAGCTGATGCCACTGAACTGGGGTTCACATGCTGTCACTCACCTAGCAGTCCCCTGGCTGCACTTGGACAGCAGCTCAAAAATCCATGGGATTGAGTGGAAAGACAGGGGTGTGAAAGACTGCATGTACTGGTGATGGCCCCAACAAGTATCAAAACAGGTTGTGACCTGAAGCCATCTGCCCAGGAAACCAGTCCCTTATCTACAGCTACCACCCAGGACACCTGTGTACAACAAGTCAGACCTATAGGAAGTCAGACTGTCATCTGTAGCAGCAATGCAAGAAGACAATGCATGAAGGCACACAATGACCCCTGTAACAATGGCCAGGACTCAATTCATAACTTGCAGTTTCCCTGATTTTTGTCTCCACTTCCAACTAAGAACCAACCAGAGAAAGACAAATGTGCAATCTAACCAGTCACTTCTGGTTAGATGCCTGTAGCCACCCCTGCCAACAGCAGCTGCTCAGGCCAGAAGCCTTCCCTGTGTTCCACTATGAAGCATTCCCACTGCTCTACCTGCCCCTGAGTCTCTGCCCAACACAAATGATGGGGGCCTAGAGCGAGCTTTTTCTCTTGCTCCTGTTACTACTGAACCTAGCTGGGGCTAACTGGGCAGCAATGGGAGATGCAGAAAGGACACAGGATAGACAGACAGACAGAAAGTGGGATCAGATGTGTTGGGCTCTCGGATGGAGACGCACAACAGCCTCATTGCTTCTTTTCATTTACTTTACTTCTTTTCCCTATCCTTATTCTTTAAGGCCTTACTCCTTTACAGTTCTTTAAAACTCTGCTTCTAAAGTCTTCTCTAAAACCTTGCTCTACTATTTAAAATCTCTTTCCTTAGATCTGCATTGTCCCATGTTTTCTCTTTGCTTTTCTTTAGCATATTCTCTCTTAAAGTCTTTGCCTCCAGGCTTGCACTGTCCCATGCTCTCTCTTTAGCTTTCTTAAAGTCTTGGCCCTCAGACTTTCACTGTCCCACATTCTTTCTTAAAGTCTCGGTGCTCAGACTTGCAGACAAACAGCAGCAGCTGCATCTAAAAACTGCATTAGCATAACTCTTAAAGTCTCAGTCCTTAGACTCGCACTGTCCCATGTTCTCTCTTTAGCTTCAGCAATTCCCCTTTAGCAAGTCTCCTTCAGCAATCCTTTTCCCTTCAGCAATCCTCCCTTCAATTCATTTTCCCCCTTCAGCAATCTCCCTCCAGCACTTTCCCTTCAGCAAAAACCCCCAATCAAAAAGCTTTCCTTTTTCCAAAAGCCTTGCTTCATCCAACAACCCCCTTCATCCAAAAGCCTCCCACATCCAAAAAGCCTTCCTTCCAGTGGTAAGCAAGGAGGTGGAGCAATGGTTCTCAGGGAGGAAAGTGATATTGTAGCTGGAGAAACCTGCATTAAACAATTTAGGAAAAGCAGCTGAGCTGCAGCTTGCTTTCTCGCTCTCTTCTGCAGCTGGGGCTGTGCCAAATCTCAGCCTACAGATTATTTGACATAAACATCCTAGGAAAACCAGCTACTCTGCATCTTACTCTAACCTTATTCTGTGGCTGGGGCTGTGCCAAACCCAGCCTACAGAACACTGAGTACAACTGTGCTAATGTCCTCATAGGCTTCTCCTACTCCACTCTCCACAGGGGCAGGGCTCAAGTGGTAGAGAGTGCCTGGCTACCAAGCACAAAACCCTGAGTTCAAACCCCTGTACTGCCACACACACACACACACACACACACACATAAAACAGAAGGACACAGTACCTTCTTCACACACATAAAAGAAGAGGGTTTTTCTGTTGAAAGAGAAACAACTATAACAAAGACTCATGCCCACAGCATCTCCTCCAGAGCCAGATGAAACTTGGCTCCAGCTACCTGTCCCCCTTCCCCTGGCCACTGCAGCCCTATGTGAAATCCAATTAGTTGTGCACTGGCCTCCCTTTGTAATCGGGCTGATGGGGACTTAGGAGTCTCAGCACTGGCAACAAAGTTCAAACTGCATCCTACAATAGACTTCTGACTCAAAGGGCATCATAAATACATTTCTGCAGCTGAGCCTAAGTGGCATTTCTCCATCACTCTTCACTGAACTTCTGGAGATGCCCAACACACTCATTCCACAAGGCACTGCCCCACTGTCAAGTCCTTTAAAAGTTTTTCTTCCATACCCCCTTCCACTGCCTCTGCCATACCACTCTCAGGAAGCATTAATTCCTCTGCCCAGCTGTGCCTTCTAGCACTTTGTCCATGACAGTATTCCAGCCCTCAGGGGTAAGGAGGGGTCTAACCTGTTTCCCTACCTCCAGATATGTGTCAGGAAGACAGCAGGTACTCATGTCTAACATAAAAAAGCACACCCGAGCTCTCCTCAAAAGAATCCCCTGACTAATTGCCCTTCCTGGAGGACTCCACAACTCCCACCCTCCATTTTCAACCTTTCTCTTTCTCTCCAGAAAGCAAATGCCCACCCCACTTGGCTGGATGCAGCACTAGAGGACCCTTGAGTTAACACAGGTGGTCTGGAGAAGCAGCCCTGACCTGTGTGGTGGGTAAGTTGGATCCCAGCCCTGGGGGTTCTGCTCTGAGCCCTTCCCTCCCTGGTTTTCCTTCTTCATCCATGAAGTGGGATAGTAGAGGCAATGCAAGTATTTTACAGGAGATTGTCACAATTGGTGGTGGGTAGGCTAAATCTACCTTGCAAATATGTTTTATTGGCTTTCATATTATATAAAACTTGGGAAATTTACATAAAAATGCTTATTCCAGCTTCTACTGAATAATTAGAACAGTGGACAACACCAGGCCATTTTCTCTCATGGCACACTGGCTAAAGCTGAACAGGGTGTGTACTAGTTTACCACAGTCCCCACCACTCTCTATTGCCCTATACCCAATCTGAATCCCTCATTACTCATCACTACTCTCCTAGGCATTTGTGTTTATAACTCTGAACTGTGGTCCTCAGCCTTGGCAGCTAGCATTTTAGAATGACCTATGTAGGTATTAATGAATGTCCAGATCCAGAGTTTGTGGAAAAGCTCCTCAACTGATTTTGATTTCAGCCAGGAATGGGAACTACTGTCCAAGAAGCTTGCTGGCTACAAGGACCCACCTCACCTATGTAAAGAAGCAGCAACCAGGAAGGAAAAGAAGGGAGAAGTAGGCAGGCAAAGGCTCCCACAGGCTCCTCTGGGGAAATGAGTCGTGCCCTAGGATTCCTGCCCCTTTCCATTCATTAGTACTTTAACATTTTGGGCACAAAGGTGATGAGCTCTGTAAGCTTCCTCAGAAGTAACCACCCGGATCGTTCTACCTTGCCAGGGGCCTTTCCAGGTCATTCCAGGCTCCCTCCTTAGCCATTGCACAAGCTCCTTCCCATTGCTGGACCAGGTTTGTCCATTCACACCTCCATACCCCTTCTGGGTTCTGCCCAATGCCCACACCTCCTCAAGGAAGCCTGTCCAACCTAAACCCAGATGTCTGAATAGGCTTGCTCAAATCATGCCTGCATTTTGTGTTGTTTTTTTTTTTTTCTCTAAACAGGATGGTAAGCACTTTGCATGCCCCTTGCGGACAGGGAACTCCAGAAGGCAGGAATCATTTCTCTTATGCTTCTCATGCTCTCTGCAACCCTCCAGCCCTAGCATTTTGCAAACACACAGGTGCCTAAGCTGCAGCTCACGTCATGGGTGGCAGAGAGACAATGCTCTCTGGAGAAGGGTGGGCTCTACAGTCAGCATTCTGTGGAATCATTTCCAAAACTCCACAGTGCCTACTGCTGGCCTCCAGCCCATCTCCCTCCTGGCACCACATCTGCTTGCTCTGTGTGTCCAAAGAGAAATAGCAACGTCCCTGGCATCTCTCACTCCTGAGCTGAGAAAGCAGCACAGTTGAGCAAAGCTGGATTGGGGACAAGAAGCACCTTCAAGTCTACTGAGAATTCACTACTGCTGGGCCTCAGGACCCAAATGCCCTGCTGCTCTGTGAGAACAGAAGAATCAATCCAGGGGCTGGGAGCATGGCTCAAGTGGCAGAGCAAGCACAAGGTCCTGAGTTTCAAACCCAGTACCACACCAAATAATCACCACACAGTCATCATCATCATCATCAGTCCAGGACCCCACCCTTAGTCAAGGCAATTCACAGACAAGTGGAGGGTGAAGGTGACCCAGAGGTTTCCAAGCTGCAGGGGGATGTCAGTTCATCTTCAAAGTCTACCCCTGGAAATAAATGACTTCAAGGGGCTGGCTGATTGGGGACTAGCTCTAGTGACATTCCCCAGACCAGTAACAGCCTAAAGGGCAAGGGCTGGCCTCTCCCTCTGGGCCTGAGCTGAGCAAGACCTACCTCGGAGCTGACTGAACGTGGTCATGAACTTGCTGGTGAGGGACGTGAGCTCATTGTTGGCCAGTGTGATGAGGCGAATCTGGTCGGTGACATTCCGCAGGACCTTGTAGATGCCAATGGGGAAGGACACCAGTTTGCACTCGGCCAGGTCTGCAACCAAAGGACAAAGCCAGACCAGAGATGTCAGCTGCTGTTGCCCCAGAGCTTGGCCCAGACACATGTGCACCCAACTCATCTTCCTTCCAGCCTCCCTGCACCTGGCTTTAGACCTTACCCTTCCTCTTCCAGGAGGGATGCTTCTCACCTGCCCCTTCTTCACCCCTGAGCCTTGGGAGTCAGTCTAGCACCTTCTGTTACCACACCCCGCCAGCTGGAATGCAGAAGGCAATACCCTGCTGGCACGAGGACAACGAGCAGTCATAGCAGTGTCCTTCAGATCCTGCAAAGCCAAGTCTCTTTGGACTCATGACAGTCTCAAGAGCGAGGCAGCCTTCTAGAGAGTGCTTCATACAACCTGCTTTGAAGATGCACAATGCACCCAGTCCCACCCTACCGCCCCACAGATGCCAAGCCTCTTAAAAGTGCAGCCTGGAAGCTGATGTACAGAACAACGTGGCAATTCCTTAGTGTCAAACCGAGTGACCTGTGGCCCAGGGAGGCCACTCCCACATACACACCCAGGAGACATGAATACAGGTCCATGCAAGCACACACAACACACGGATGTTTACAGCAGCATTACTCACAATAATGTGGAACTTTATAGACTTTGGAAAAGTTTAGGAAGTGCGATTCTATCTGGAATTTTGATTCTTAGGCTGAGTCTCTTTTGTTTTCCTAAAACTGTTAAGTGGTTACTTGGACATATGTTGATGAATCCTTCCTTTCCCTAATTTGTGAGGCCTCCTTTAGCATTTCTTAATACATTACTAAGTAATGTTGTTCTGTAATACAGTGTATTACAGAAGAGCCTTGGTATCTGCAGGCATATGGTTCCAAGGAAACCACTGGTGGGGGCGGGGGAACCCGTGCATACTCTAGATGCATAGACTTCAGCCCTGTGTTGAAATTGCTTGACTCGTTTTTCCCATAATACCCTGCCAAATTCCACTAAAGACATGTCGCCTTCCAACAAATCTCAATTTTTCACTTTGTTTCAATTAAGCACATTCACTTTTATCTTATGTTCTGGGCACCACTTGCTTTTGGGGAGGCAGATTTTCACAAAATTAAAGGCAAAGAAACACTCAGCAGATCACACAATTTATTTATTTATTTTTAAAATTTTTTTATTATTCATATGTGCATACAATGCTTGGGTCATTTCTCCCCCCTGCCCCCACTCCCTCCCTTACCACCCACTCCGCCCCCTCTCTTCCCCCCACCCCCTCGATACCCAGCAGAAACTATTTTACCCTTATCTCTAATTTTGTTGAAGAGAGAGTATAAGCAATAATAGGAAGGACCAAGGGTTTTTGTTAGTTGAGATAAGGATAGCTATACAGAGCATTGACTCACATTAATTTCCTGTGCGTGTGTGTTACCTTCTAGGTTAATTCTCTTTGATCTAACCTTTTCTCTAGTTCCTGGTCCCCTTCTCCTATTGGCCTCAGTTGCTTTTAAGGTATCTGCTTTAGTTTCTCTGCGTTGAGGGCAACAAACACTAACTAATTTTTTAGGTGTCTTACCTATCCTCATATCTCCCTTGTGTGCTCTTGCTTTTATTATCACACAACAATTTAAACACAACTTATGATAATGCAGCACTGACAGAGCTTCTCCACATCCACTGAGCTGTATAATGTGCATTCAGGAATGTCAATTTTTGTTTTTGAAATTTCTTTTGCTTTTTTCTGACTGCACTTGGTCAAAACCAAGTGTTACAAATCTGTGAACAAGGTGGGCTTATTATATTGTGTACTGTATATATTTGTAATATAAATTTATTTATGTATTATTTCTGGACTCCATGTGTTCTGTGATCTATTCTTCCCTCTTTTAGTTACTGTGGCCTTACAATATTGGTTATAATCTCAGCTTATTTTTTAGATGGTCTTGCTTGCTTAATTCCTAGTTGAACTTTAAAAATATTTCATCAAGTTAAAAAAAATCTTTTGGAGATTTGGGTAGGAAATATACTAAATAATCCATAATCAATTTCTTTTAAAAAGCCAATAGCAATATTTTGACTTGTCATCAATGAATTTTTTTTATTTTATTATTCATATGTGCATACAAGGCTTGGGTCATTTCTCCCCGCTGCCCCCACCCCCTCCCTTACCACCCACTCCGCCCCCTCCCTCTCCCCCCCACCCCCTCAATACCCAACAGAAACTATTTTGCCCTTATCATCAATGAATATATTATGTATCTTCACATACAAATCTAGTCTTAAAAGTATCTTTGTGGCCAGGTGTGGTGGCTCATACCTGTAATCCCAGCTACTTGGGTGATGGAGATGAGGATGATCATGGTTCAAGACCAGTCCTGACAAAAAGTCAGCAAGACCCCATCTTAACCAATAGAAAAGGGCATGGGGGTGCCTGTCTGTGGTCCCAGTTATACAGGAGGCATAAATAGGAAGATCATGGCAAAACTAGAGAAATTTAAAAAATAACTAAAGCTAAAAGGGCTGGGGTTGTAGATCAAGTGGTAGAGCACCTGCCTGGCACCTGAGGTCATGTGTATATATACGTATACTTTTGTGAATTTTTCTACTTTCCTTCATGGTCAAACACATTTTCCATTATGAGTACCTCCCTCTATTTTAAGTGGTTGTTGCTGTGCAGAACAGGTCTTTAAACATAGGACATTATTGACCTTGGCCTGTTAATTTTGATCAGCCACTTTTCCAGACTCTGTAGTTCACGTTCCTGTCAGATGACTGCAATGTGTTTGAGGTTACACAGCTACTTTACGTGCGCGTAACAGTCACTGTGACTGTTGCAATGCCTGGGCTTTCTAGTTCCTCAACCCATGCAGCAATGCGGGTGATCCAGGACATCCTCATTTTGTACTCTGCTTGAAAGGGAAAGCTCTGACATCCCTTGTGTGTCCCTGGCATGTGTGTTGAGGTGAGATCTAACTGCTCCTACCCAGGGGGCAGCTGTAGTCCACAACAACCGTGAAAACTCGCCTCCAGTCCTTTGTGCATCTGGCACAAGGCACCAGGGGGGTTGTTGTTTCTAGAATCCCTACTTTGCCCCAAACTCTGAGCCTGTAGCTCTGGTTCACTTGCAGCCAAGCCCTGATCTCTCTCTTCTGAAGCCTGCCATCTGGAGATTCAGTCCTCCCTGGTAGGACTTGGCATCTCTTCTGTCAACTTGTCTCTCAGATAAAAGGTGGTGCCTGACGGTGGACAGCAGCAGGGCTGGGGTTACCCACAGCCCTGGAATAGGGCCCTCGCCACACTTCTTGACAGACTGCCCAGCAGATAACCCTCAGTCATCTGAATGTTTGTCCTTCTCCTACCTGTCCCCTTTCTTTCTTAGGCCACCTCAGTGAGTTCACCTTTGTCTCTGTCCTGCTCCCAAGGTGCTGGATGTCTGGCACTGTGATCCAGGGGTCTTCCCAGAGCAACGGGAAAACAGACACAAAAAGGGGTTAGTACGGGGCAGGATGAACAGGTGTCATTGCATTATTTGCCAGGCAGATGAGACACAGCAGCTGGAGCAATAACAGCTTAGAGCAGTCAAAGAAGGCTTCGTAGAGGAGGTGACATTTGAACTGTAATTTGGAACTACAGTAGAAATCCTATGGGACAGTTAAGGGAAAGGGCATCATTTGTGATCATTTCCATATAATCTGTATTACTGTTGCTATTGGGAACAAGACCTTTAGAAGCTATGTTTTATTGTGGGCACATGAGAATATCACTGAATTTTACCTGTTTATCTTAGAGTCATCTGCAGAGGCTTAGAGGCCTGGGAAAGCCTGGTCTCTCTGGGGAAAAGACATCTGCTGAATGAGGTGGGTCAGTGCTATCAGCTGTGAGGGCTCCTGGGGGCCAGGGATTAGGGGGTAATCACCAGTCCAGGGTGTCTGGGAAGGCTTCTGGATGAGGTGGGGTGGGAGCACAGAAAGATTTGGATAGACTGGGGAGGGAATGGCACAGTGGGAGGGGAGAAGAACAACACAGGCAGCCTCCAGCTATGCATCTGGCAGGCACTTTGTGAGTCATTACTTTGTTGTAGTCTTCCTGACAGCTCTGCCAGGGAGATGATGGAAACTGAGGCTCTAGGAACTCAAGGGACTTAGATGAGCTGGACAGCCTAATTTCTGAGCCTCTATGCTTCTGGTGTCCGTGTGCTGTCATATGTATATACACACACACACACACACACCATCAGGTTTATGGAAATCCAGCTCACATGATGTATAATTTATCCACTTTAAGTGTACCATTCTGGACATTTAAACCCAAATGTCCATTGACTGAGAATGGACCAACCACATGTGTTATGTCCATAAAAAGAAACAAAGTACCAGTATATGCTATGATATGGATGGACTATGAAAACGTGTTCCCAAGCCAAAGAAGCCAACCACAAAGGCCAGGTATTGAATGGCTCCATTTCTATGAAATGTCCAGATGAGGCAAATCCACAGAGACAGAACACAGATTAGTGACTGCATAGAGCTGCAGGGGAGAGAGGGTCCCAGGGTTGGTGATTAAGGGGTCCTGGGGTTGGTGACTAAGCTTCTTTGTGGGGGCAATGAAATGTTCTGCAATTGGATTGCAGTGATAGCTGCACAATGCTACAAATGCTGTATATTCATAAAGCAAACTGCAAGTGAACAGAAGTGAACATTTACATGACCTCTTAGCTGAAGGTAACTTTCCCAACTAGGAGTCATAGAAAAATCACCAAGGAACAGAGAAACAAACTGTATAAAACATAAAACACTGGGCACTTGAAAAAAAATCAGACAAGCAGGGTTGGGGGGTGTGGCTCAAGTGGTAGAGCACATGACTAGCAAGCACAAAGCCCTGAGTTCAAACCCCAGTGCTACCAAAATACATACATACAGCAAGCAACAAATTGTGGAAATAATCTACAGATAAGACAAAGGTTTAACTTTATTGTTGAAACACTCAATATAATTGAAAAAAGAAAAAAAAATAAGACCAATCAAAAAACAGAACATAA